GATCCATGGAAACCCCACAAGAGTAACATCCTTGGATAACCCTGATCTGGGTGACCAACATATCCAAAAATCACCCAGATTGGTTTAGTGGTTTGGTTTTTCCATGGAAGTCACTTTTTAACATGTCTTTTTTCAGGGCCCATAATCCTGGGGCAAGAGGCTGGCAAGCAGACTCCTCCAAGTACCAGTGGCGAGGTTACTTTTGCCACAGTTTTAATTTTATCTAATGTTATGAAGTATGCTTTCCAATATTTGTTTAAATATATTTCATTTATCCTCAAAATCATTTTTTTCTCAAAATCAGTTATAAGGCATCTCGTATCCTACTGACATTGACCCTTTATAAAATGACATTTTAGTGAACTCCATATAAATCTTATAAATTTAATTGATTACAAATGCACAATTTTATGGTTACTTTTTCTCAAGTGCTTCCTTTCTTAAATATTTGACAAAAGGTTAGCATTATTTGTTATTGGACCTGTTCATATGGTTTTGTCTGAATTGCAGTTCATCCAAATTTTAGATACTCAGCATTCAAATTCTGTAACTCCGAAACAAATCATGACGCAAACAAACAAAAAAAAAACATTGCATGAACCATAAACAATGGTGCTGTGCCTTGATGAAACAGTTCAGCCTGAATTTAACTCGGATGTATCGATCTGAGCAAGCAATCCCTGATGTTGACATGGGTGCCTACTATTCTGAGAGAGAGATGTTGCTGGTGCATCCTTGTTTGTAAGTGTCAGGATTACAAGTTGATCCAGCACGCAGAACTGTGTCACACCTAGGACTAAGGATAACGTATAACTGGACCTTAGAATGGTCGGACTTAACGTATCCAAGAATAGTCAAAATACTTGCCGAGGTCAGGAACACAGACTCAGACACAACGATGAGGGAAAGCCAAAAGTCAAGGATACCAGAGTTCAGGAAAGTCAAAAAACAGAAAATCAAGATCAGGAACGCACTCTAGGATTACCATCAGTATGAAATCATGACAGGGCAATGAGCAAAAGGAGAATTGGGTTTAAATACCCCTCTTATGGATCCGATTGGCCGTAACTGGACTTTGACCCCAAAAGCAATTACCAGATTTCCATGTGCATGATTTCTGCTCAGCACAACTTTTCCTGTCAGGACGGTAATGTTGCTCGGGACAATTTTTCCTGTCAGGAAAAGTGCGGATGAATACGTGACAGTAAGTGACCCTGTATTTTAACGCAGATATCTGGAGTGTTGGTTAACTCATGTTTTTGATGCGGGTGTGTCAGTATTAGAATGAGACCTTACGTTACCAAATAGATATGGACCTGACACTGCAGCACACTGGACTGAACATACTCAGAAAAATAGGTTGCCTTTTATTTTGTTAACATTAACACTTATTATTCCTATTCCTGCCTAGTGTTGATTCCAGCCATTCTGAGGTCCAATATTATGCCTATCTATTCTTTCTCACTTTGCCTTTGGTTAGGTTGCTGACTTGTAGATTTGTGAGAATTGTTTAGTAACCTGACAAGCAGCAGTAGTGATACAGACAGGATACAGTGTCACAAATGCACACTACTTCACGTGTGCTTGTGACTTGGTTCTGATAGTAAAAAGGTTAAAATTCACTATTTGTCTGCACTAGACCAAAAACAATTATAAAACCCCCACATATAACCACCCTCATTTTGCTGTAATATCATAACACAGCCACCACCAAGACAATTTATAAATAAGGTACCTTGGTCACACAAGCAAATTAAACAAAAACCCACAAAATATGTTTTAACACAATATCTATGTGATTACAAAAAATTAATAAATTGGTCTAACCAGGTAATGTGAGTCTTTACTAGACAAAGGCAGAACTTAATAAAGGAATATTTATTATGCACAAACAATAGTCACAGTGCATACAAAAAACAGATGGCAAACAAACCTTATAAATCTTATATTACTCGCTTAGATTTTAAAAGTAACAGTGTGTTCTGCCTGGGGAGGAGAGCTCCGGCAAGGATAGATGGCAACTTACTCAACATTTGATCTGACCCCTAATAAGTACACTAGTCATTTACATATCAGATTTATACTTGCCGGCCCAAAGTAGGAAGGTGTTCCTACTCTAAGTGGTCTTCCCCTTGTGTTTGAGGCAACCACCAATCTAAATAGAAAATCTGCTTTTATTTTCTGTGCATGCGACAGAAATAATTTTTACATCTATGAATTTGTTGCAGTTATCAATCTAATAGACACATCACATTTCCTACATATGACCTAGTACAGGAGTCTTCACAGTTTCTTCAAAATGGCTTAGGTTGTGCTAACCATATTTAGATTTGGTTTTTTTTATAGGGTGTGCTTTCACCAGTCTGTATATGTACAACAGAAGGCATAATTATTAATCTCTGGATTACTATAAATGTTTTTGGATATGACTCTTTGACAGACAATGGTCCCCTGACTGCTAATGGTCACTTTCATATCAAAAGGACCAACTAGCTTTTAAAAAGTACAGACAAATGGTATGTTAGCCAGTTAGTTTACAAAAAAAGCTAGACTTAGAGGCAACTCATGTATAAAAATCCACACAACTACAGAGGGGTTGGAGTTACAGCTTCAAAAGAGGAATTCATGTTGTAAATCTTCTGACCTCTATTGCATTCTTACACAGTCAAACTAGCCCTTCTCGTGCTGAAATGGGCCATACCGCCTCTACTAGGTGACCAATTCATGTTTGCACAACACAAATTACATTTAATAGCAATATTCAGTAGTGCAACAATGAATTGTGCTTGCTGGGCGTTACCTACAGCATCCTCAAAAAATATTTTTAAAAACACTTATTTTCTTTAACTGTGTGCTGTGCAAGTGGGTGAGCACTGTGCGGTGCAGTGTAGTGTTTAATCTTAGTATCAAATACAATAATGCTATAGTAGTTCTAAATCCACCAAACAGCAACCCATTTTTCAACACAAACATAAGACAGTGTGAAACCACTACAATGACACGCATTTCTAAAAATGGAGGAAGTGTAGCAGCAACAGCAGCAGTATTTAGTCCACTACTATCACTATTAAGAAGAGCAGGGAAAATGTTGAGCATGGAGCTAGTAGCCAACAGAGGCAGGTTGGACATGGACAGTTGAAATCCTCATCATCTCAGGGATAAGCCCACTAACTCACTCTTGAACAATTTGTTGAATTTCATTGCAGGGTCATCTCAAGAACAGCAGGCTAACAAAATTGCCCAGATTTACAGAGTAAACCTACTGGCCAGCATTGCTTCCTATTATTGACAACACTGGTGGCAGCCCATAAGACATGGGTAGGGTGGTATTAGTGGAAGAGATTTAACATTACTGGCAATCAAACTTAATTGTTGAAGGAGGTTTGCTTGGTATTTCCAACATAGTGGAAGGCTAGCCAACTCTTAAGCCAGACAGAAGAGAAAGCAGGGCTTCCCGCACAAAGTCTATGACAAGTTATCAGTATGCTCTAGAACTCTGCTTTAGACATGCTGGAAACAATTTTGAAACAGCATGGGGCAAACCATTTAGGCGAGGTCAATCCTTTGTTCACCCAGGTCTTGGGGAAAACAAAAAAAATAAATTACTCCTGTTGTTGCTGCTTTGCCTTTATTGTGTGGTTTCAACCTGTCTGGCGAAGTCTTGCAGTGTGACTATGCATGCTATCGCCATAGATGCAGTTGATATAAGCTGATAGAGAGATGTACAATGCCATTTATCTGACATTGCCTTATGCTCAAGAGCAGACTTTTCCAAGAGATACTGAACCTGCTCCCAAGTCCTATGTGGTGTAGCCACA